TTCATTAGTTAACATAAACTGCCAATGAAAAATTCTTCTGAACATTCATTAATCTTAGGTATTCCAATATTTAATAACAGGTTGTTAAAATCTAAAGTTGCAACTGTGTTATTTAATGAGCTAACATGAACTAAGACTTGTATTTTTTAACAAAGTTTAATAACTGCTGTAGCAAATGTAGCTATTGCTCATTGTGAATGTTAATGCATTAACTAAGGTTAACTAATGAGGTCTTATTGTAAAGTGATACCTATTGGTCTTTATATTTCTTTTGTGCTTTAATCCGTGTAAAACTTTTAACTTTATACATTTTTCTGTATTGCTTTATTGCATTTAAATGTTCAGTTATTTTTGTTATAAGAAAAAAGTTATTGACAGCACTTTTTTAAACTAAATTTCAACATCGTAATAATACCGTATACCGTGATAAAAGCATTAGCAATTAATTGCAACATGAAAATTTGATACCGGCATATCCCTAATGGTGACTATGGGGCTATGTAAAATATTTTTTGCAACTTACTAGGTTTATCATTTGTAATTTTTTCCCCGATAATGTCGATAATCGTCTGTTGACATCGACATTGCGATACTTACGAGACATCGTCGATATACGATAATATCGTCATATCGCCTAGCCCTAGTATGTACCATAAACAGATTTTCTTTACGGAATTCTGATTTTATCTGATTTCAGAATTAATGAGTAATGTGTAGCATCTCACAATTCCATATAGAAAAACATTTATTATAATTATATTATAATAATTTACAGTATGAAAAAAATGCATATTCATTTTATGATTTGCTTAAAACTAAAGAGTGTTATTACATTATAAATTTTTGAAGATTACCGTTTAAGTGAGCATTAGATGACAGTAGTGTTGTCAAAAGACCCGGTATTTCGGTACCAAGTCGGTACTAAAAAAATGAAAACGTTACGGTACCAGGTTTTCTGGTACCGAGAACCGTGGATTTTCACTGGTATTGGTACCGAATACTGAAATTTTGGTACCGTGACAACACTAGATGACAGCAAAGTCAATCTCATAAAAATATGAAGAACAACACATGCACAACTAAACATGCATTACTGGTCAATATACAACCAACATTCATAAATTAAAAAAAAATTTTTTATCAGCCAGTAGCCAGTATAGTTAAGACATACTAGCCATCCCTAAAAAATAACATATAATAGATATATTACACATCCCTAGAAAATAAAAGTAATATTCCATCTCCAACTTCATGAAACATTTTATTATGCCAAAAACATTTAAAAATTAATGCAAGTGTGACTGTTGTAATTGTTTCACACATCTTGAGAGTTGAGACCAAGTGCCTTTTTTTTTTTTTTTTTTTTTGGTTTTCGTCCGTATTTTGGTGTCCAGATGCTTTCATTTTTATTTAGGCTATTTATTTAACATGGAGCTATAACAGCTATTTTGCAAACAAACAAGTTTTGATTGCTCTTAAGTGTTCCAGTGCATTATTATGTATCGATTAGATATATATATAAAAAAAAAAGACAAACTGAAGTAGCGACAAATCTTTTTTTTTTTTCTGTATCGTGTCGTACATTCAAGTTAATTGAATTATCGAAAAGAAAAACAAATGCAGAAAAACTCATTGGTTGTTGATTGGATGGAGGCAGATCTGAATGAGAGCTTACAGTTGATTGTAAGAAAGGGGTGGCATTTAAGTGGACAAAATGATTGGAGAAGTCTGTCATTTTACTGGCAGATTGATTTATGATATTCTTTAAAAAGTACAAGGTCAAAACATTTTTTAATTCACAATAGGTTCATAAAATGAAATCAGAAAATATATATGGTAAATTTCCTTTTAATGGTTTAAAATATTTAGGCCCGGTTTCATAGACAGGGCTTAGCCTAAACCAGGATTAGGCCATAGTTCAATTAGGACATTTAAGTAATTTTTATAAACGTGCCTTAGAAAAAAAAAAACATTACTGGTGTGCATCTTGAGACAAAACAAAGGCACTGATATATTTTAAGATCAGTAAGTGCAAGTTTCTTTCATTTGAAACAGCTCAGACTTACATTTTAGTCTAGGACTAGGCTTAAGCCTTGTCTGTGAAACTGGGGGATAATGTCTCATGTCCATTTTTGTGGAATGCAAGGCCAAATAAGAGAATGTGTTGTAAACATTTGTCCCTGCTAGACACAAATGCTTCACAGTTCAAGTTCAATCACTGTCCCCTAAGTTAATGTATGACATGAGGAGTTCAAATTTTAACAGAAGCCAGTCTACAAATAGACTCTGTCCCTTTCTCTCTCTCACACACACACACACACACACACACACACAAAGTAAGATGTGTACTATGTCTCTCATAGTGCTGGTTCCCACCTAATTCAATGAGCTATTCTGGCACAAATTAATGTGTCACTTCTATTTCAATGTAGACGTAAGAGCCCTTGGGAGGGAGAGGCAGGCCATTTATACTCCAGGAGCATCTGACTAAGAAGGAATATGGGGAGAGCGTGCCGAAACAGATAACTTGCACTGCAACATTCCTGTCATTGCTCACATAGACACTAGTGCTGTGTTCGATACATAGACTGTATAAAAACATGGACGTAGTGTCCGTGATGTCACCCGTAGATTTCCGAAGAGCGTTTTTGAAGCTCAAAATTGGGCGGAGGCGGCCGTCGCCATCTTGGCAGCGCGTCACCGCGTGTCACTCCCGGATAATCGAAAATGGGCAAAGAGGCGGGAGCAGGTTGCTGAAGCCATGCCCACCTAGCTCAACAGTGGTGACAGCAGCGGCAATCCACCTGTCACTCAAGTGGCCACGCCCTTAATTATGCAGAAATTGAAGGCTTAATATAATTTAAACGGATGAGTTATAAAAAAAATTCGCCTCCCTCACAGTTGTCATCAAGGGCAAAAATAGCTATATAGACCAAAATCACAAAAACCAGTCTCTAGCGGCCAGTTGATTAATTACAGTTTAAGTCACTTCCTTGTTGGCTTCACGAGAGAGAGCGGGAGGTTGCCGCTTAGTTTCTACCTGCAGGATCAGCAGACACAGGAAGTAGAGGTTGGCCACTCTCTTAAACTGCTCGTACAGGTTCAGCGGCAGGAAGGTGAAGACGTTGTATTTGTAGGTCTTGATTGCATTGCCCTTAAAATGAAAACAAATGCAAGATATTATCAAACTGGCATAAAGCTTTAAGTCTTCATTTTTGCAGGTTCTAACTGGGTTGTAAAGAGACGTAATCCCCGAAACAGAGCTTCACACTTTCGCAATACGGAAATATCTGCTATCTGCTAAACTTATCTTTGTCAACCTGGCAACCATGTGCATGC